TACAGAGGGATTGTTAAATTTTGGAGGAGTCATGATGTCTTTACTTTTCATTTTTCTTATGTTTCATTGTTGCAGCTTGTTCATTTTGGATTAGGTCATGGGCTGGATTTTTTTTTTTTTTAAATCACTTTTATTCAGTCATTTGAAGTACTGACAGAGTTTGAGTGGGACTAGGTTGTTGGTTGGACTGAGGTGTAATTTCTTCCTACTGAGCTGGGTAGCTCAGTGCTCAACCCTTGGTCCACATGCTCAAGGCTCTGGGCATGATCCCAACACCACTCTGAAAGTTGAAGACTACTGCAGCAGCAGTATAAACAACCACATCTGGGGGATAAACTTACCGTTAAACGCCTGATTGAAAACATTCATCTTCCTCAACTCCAGTAACTTTTCAGGAGTGAAGAAACAAGGGTAATATTGTGTATACTAAGCTATTTGTCACTGAGGGTAGGAATAGAAAGAAAATAAGCAAAGCAAGACTGACAATTAGTATTAGAACAATAAAAAAATAGAAAAGTAAAGGAACTAGAAAAGGAGAACAGTAAAGAAAGGAGGTGATAAAGGACTCCAACTAAAGTAAAATGAAAAGAGAAAATGTCAATACTCAGGGGCAGAGGCAGAAAGACCCCAGCCTTAAGCCAACCTGTAACATATGGCAGAACTTGTTCAAAAAGAGAAAACAGGACAAGAGAATAGGGCTAAGTAATGCCCATCCACAAAATTCAATATTCAACAGGCAAAGTATGAAACTAAAGAGGATGGGAGAAAGAAAGTTCAAAATTTACCAGTAAGAATTTGAACAGCCCTATCTGATTTAACTGCTCTGATTTAAGCAGTCTCTAAATGACCTATAATCAGAGAAGAGAGAAAGGGTAAGAAAGAATGGAGGAAGGAATAAAAGAAGATAGTGTTTGAACTGGAAACTAAAACTGACAAGATTGTAGAGATGGCACAGAAGTTAGAACCATGTGCTGTTCTTGCAGAAGATCAGAGTTCAGATCCCAGGACCTGCCTCAGGTAGCTCACCACTGCCTGTAAATCCAGCTCCAGGCATCTTATGCCATCTTTTTGTCTCTGCAGGTGCCTGCACTCACCTGTACATACCCCATCCCCAAATACATATCCCCATAATTTAAAAAATAAAATCCTTAAGAAATGATGAAAATAATAGCAAATATAAAGATTGAAGAACATTGATCTCCAGTCCCTTGGGATGTCACTCACCTGGGTGGGAGTGCAGAGTCTCTCTGTGCCCCCTTGCTTTTCCTTCCCTGGGCATTTGGTTTATAATACTAAGTATGTATTCCTTCCCATGGACCAGGCTTCAAATCCAATCAGAAGGCAGTTGGTTACCCTGGAACAGTCATGCCACTGTTGTACCAGTGGGCTCATCTTGCCTGACATGTCAGTGTTGTAGCACACAGGGTCCAAGACTGTTCATAAGTTTTCTGCCCTAGTAGCTTGTATAATACCTCCAGGCACCTTGTAGGCTAACCAGCAGGGAGGGAGCTTCCAGCTGTTCCAGAATAGGGCTGTTGGCAAGCTTTCCACTTGTGTGCCTTAGATCTTGTCACCTCTAAGCACTTGTCACTGTTCATCCCTTCTTTGGGGCATCTCGAGTAACTTGCCTCCTTGCCTCAGAGTGGGGAAGGGAATTCCACACCAGATTATGGCTCAGAACAGATTTCCTCCACATGGAACTCTTAGTGGCTCTAACTTAATCTTTTCCCTTTAAGCGAAAGGGGTACTGCAAGTCATTTCTCATCTTATAATCCTTTGACAGTTGGCCCAGGTCTCCAGTGTGGGCCACACTGGCAAGGCAGGGGCTTTTGTCAGCAGAGCTGCCTGGCAGCTGACTCAGCAGGCATCTTTCTATAATGACTTCTTGTTGCTGCTCTGGCCAAATGTTAACAGGACGAGAAGATTTTCCTAGCACTTACACGTCATTCAGAGAGCAGGATTCTTGTCTGGTTGAACCGCAAACCTTTTCAGTCATATGTTCATTGTTAACTGTGTTTTCTGGGTCTATGTTGTTTTCTTCTTTGGTCTCCAGCACTCTGTCTGCTGTGTGTGTTTTCTCCCTTGTGCCGCCTCCCCCTGACTTTGAGATGGGTACTAGAAGTACAGTGAGTAGTTTCTGAGGCTCTCTCTTGGCTTTTCCTCTTGGTCACTGCCCTTTCCTGTCATCCACGCTCCTCGCTTAGAGCCATGCCTTCCCTACTTAGGGCTGCGTCCTCTTGAAGAGACTCGAATTCTGTTGCACTTTCTACACCTGCCTTCTTTCTTTGCTACTAGGCTTTGCATGCCTTTCTGCTTCTACACACTACAGAGGATGGCTACTGTTCAACTAGTCCCCGTTTGTTCCCTCCAGATGTGAGCAGTTGTTGAAGTACTGTGCTCTGTTGTCTTCCCCTCCCGTAATCTCTAGAATACATTTGATCATTGGCCATTCTAGAACATTCCATGACAGATATAAGGCCTTTGAATGTGCAGATTTTACTTTTCTTTTTTCAACCCCTTGGTGCCTCTAGCTTTATCAACTCATGTCATTATTTTTTTTTCCTTCATCAAGGACTTGATCACATGAATGTCTTTTCCCTCTCTTCTCCACTTATAAAATTTTATTAGTTATTTAAAACTCTTAAGGTTGGGTGTGGTGGCACATGCTTTTAATTCTAGCACTCTGAGGCAGAGGCAAGTGGATCTCTGAGACCGAGGCCAGCCTGGTCTACATAGTGAGTAGCTGGGGCTACAGGGAGAGCCTGTCCCCCAAAAACCCAAAGAAACAAACAAAAAGACAAAACAAAACAAACTCTTCTTTGCTGCCTTTTGACTGTATTTTCTTGCTTTCTACCTCCTCACATATGTTCTGTGCAGTATCAATATCCTTTGTCCTTTTTCATTTTATCATCATGAAGATTGTATTTTTGCCATCGATTTCTTCCTAAGTTCTTCCAGTTCACAATTCCTGTATTCTTGTGATCTTGCCATCATGTTACTCAATCCTAACAATTATCTGTCAGGTGGTTCTTATAAAGGGCTTGCCTTAATAAATATCTTAAAATAAATATATCTAGTATTTTCATCTGTGCCGTGTTACCATTTTCTGTCATGCATTCTTCTTTTGTTGGCAATTACATAATCTCAACCTCTTTTTGCTTCTTGAGTATATATTGTTCTAAATTTCTGTTGCCTTGGTTGTTATTCATTGGGGGCATATTGAGTATTCCCAAGCAAGCAGTTGCAAGAAAATGCGAGGAGCAGGTGACATTAGTGGCCACATAACTCAAAAGCTATCTTTCCATTTCAGTAAAGATGAATGTGGATGCCTAACAAAGCCCTTTCTCTTCTGCTTCCCTGGACATAGGGTCTAGGAGTTCTGAGGTAGTACTTAATGTGCAGGTTGACACCCATTGTGTGTATTTTCTAAGAGTGTGTTTTCGAAGTCACGCTGTAAGGTCTGTAGAGAATGGGTTTTACTACTGAGCTCATTCGTATTTACTCTGCACATGTGATTCCTTCACAAACATGATTGTTTTCAGCATGCTTTTCTAATACTTGGATGTCTCTTTCAAGCCTTTAACAGGATTCAGATGTACATTTTCTCTCCTCTTGTTAATTTTGGATTAGTTTCCAGGAGCATATAAAAAGCCATGTCTTACAATCTCCATATTTTTATCTTTTCTTTCTTGTAAGAGGCCTCATCAGCTAGCCTTGTGAGGTGTTGGGCATGCTTCAGGAGCTGAGGCAGCTGCTCTAAGGGCTCCATGCTCAGGTTGGTCTAAGTCTCATTTGGCTTCTCTGCAATAAAGATTCAATGGTCTGCAGGTCACAGAATACAGAATTCTGACCAATGTGGCTTTGCAGTAACAGTTCAGAATAGTCTTGGTTAATATTTGTGCATAATACTTGTAAGAATGGAGTGTAATTGTTAGCTCTGGGGCTGTTAGGTAAAATGAAGAGGTTTATGAACAAGCAAAAAAAAAATTCTATCCCTCAGATGAACTCAGCACCAGTTATTTTCTGTTCTAAAGAGTCTGTAAGCTTTTTCTCCTTTGTGTCAAACTGTGTTACTGTTGGAGAACAGATGGCATCGTTGAATGTACAAGAAGATGCATTATGGCACTTGCCTGTCTACCTATTCTGAATGCCCCAAATAATAATTATGGGTGCTGGAGAGATATCTCAGTGGTTAAGAGCATTGGCTGCTCTTGCAAAGAACTGGAATTCAGTTCCCAACACCTACATGGTGGTTAAAAACTATTCACAACTCTAGTTCCAGAGGTTCCAACACTCTCTTCTGGTCTCTGTCAGCATTGTATGCATGTGTGCACTTACATACATACAGGCAAAACATATACGTAAAAATAAAATATTAAGATAATAACTTTCTGTCCCTCAAGAAAATCACAAAACTGAAAAATCAAAAACATTCCATTTTTGGATTTATTTATTTTTATTTTATGTATATGAGTGTTGTACCTGCATATGTGTAAGTGCACCTGTGTCATGCAATACCAGAGGACATTTGAAGAGGGTGTCGGATCCCTGGGAAATGGAGTTATAGACAGTTGTTAGCTGCTGTGTGGGTGCTGGGATTCGAACTTGGGTTGTCTGCAAGAACAGCCAGTGCTCTTAACCACTGAGCCATCTCTCCAGTCCAAACACTCCATTCTTTGTACACAGTTGCTATATAATGTACAAGTTATCTGTGTTTAACTTTAAATGTAATTCACCAAGTCAATACCTCAGAGCTGTTCTAGAAGCTGCGAGAAGAAAGTGAAGGAATGATCAGTTCAACACCAGTTGAAACTGTCATGCCTCTGTCACAGGCCTGTTGAGATACTGCTTCTGAAAGTGACTGGTGACTTGTGAAAAAATGTTCAAAATCTGATAGATGCACAGACCTTATCATGTCCATGATCCTGACTATAATCACTACAATTGCCCTTGACCTTGGCTGCCCTTGGATACTGACTGAAATAATTATGCCCTAACAGGTTCCTTAACAACGTTGGTTTCTTTTTTCCACTGATTATGATGTTGACTTGGATGGTGTCTGTGGCCAGCATGGTCCGGAAGCTGGTTTATGAGCGAGAGATCCAGATAGAAGAGGTAAATGATCTTTGATCTCGCCTGTGGGGCCACAGGAGAGAACTGTGGGAGGGGCAGGCTGTGGATGTTAGAGATGAGCCTTTCCATGCACCTGGTTTCTCTTTTTCCTTTGTTCCCTCTGCTGAGCTCCTTCCTACGTGCCAGCTGAGTCTCTCTTCCAGGAACATTGTTTTCTATTGAATTCTGAAGGGTTGCCAAAATTTAGCAGATATTTCCCCTTGAGACAAAAGGAAATCAGACAGTAAGTACAGGAACAAAACAGTGCTGCTCATTTGGTAATTTTTATAAAACATAACTCTTTACCTTAACTTCTGATTGGGATTCTATGCAAAGTCCCACTGTTTTTTCCCAATGTTAAAATTTGAAGATATTGGATAACTGCTTTTAAGAATGAGTTTATAAAAGTATCTGGTAAAGAAGTGACAGCCCATTGAGTCTTTCAGAAGAGTGAAGCCAGGTGGTGACAGGCTTGTGTTGTTTCATTATTGAACAGTTACTGAAATAGAGAAATTGTATGGTCAAGTAGAAAGTGCTTTCCTTTAAACTCTACCAGTGACGCAGAGAACTCTAGTTACTGTTTTGTATACCCTCTACCCGTTTACCACCCATATACTCAAGGATGTCTGTGTTTCTCCTCTATGTGGGTTTGATCCCTGACCACAGTGCCTGGAGACTGAAAGTTCTTTTTGCCGAGTTTAGTAATGAAGCCAGTAGGTGGCCTGCCAGGGTACATACCTCATTGCTTCTTAACCTCTTTCATATGAAGTCAAGCCCAGCCCCAAAGACAGCACCACAGGGCATATGAGCAGATGGCAGGTTGGTGGAGATTGTGGTGCCTCAACCAAGATTATCTTGCAGAATGCAAGCCACAGCCCATGCAAAGGATATTCCAACCAGGTGTGTGCACCAGTGTATCCCTCCTTAATTGCTCTTTGCTTTTATTCAACAAAGTCAACACATCCAAACTGAGAAACAAAAACTAAGGCCAAAAACTCATGAATAAGAAAACATGACGAGACTAGACTGAGGTCAACCAAGCCTACAGGCTAAGGCACCTGCTCACCACCTTTCCTGCTGTGCTTCTTACTGGTGACACTGTCTTTAGGACTAGCTTTAGTTCTCTCACCTCTAACATGGTTAATGGCTACGATGTCAGGTCCTCATGAAAATCTCTGAGGAAGGAAGTCTCTGCCCCAGTGCCCTGCTGAGAGCTGGGTTTGCAAGCCACACACTTCCCCTTTCTGCTGGTACTCCTCTCACTCATGAGCTCACCTGTCGTTCCTTCTTTTCACAGTACATGCGGATGATGGGGGTTCATCCAGCGATCCACTTGCTGGCATGGTTCCTGGAGAACGTGGCCATGCTGGCTCTGAGCAGTGCGGCTCTGGCTATCATTCTGAAGATCAGTGGCATCTTTGCATACAGTGATGCCTTTATTGTTTTTCTCTTCTTCCTAAATTTTGGGGTGTCAGCTGTCATGCTGAGTTACTTCTTGAGTGCATTTTTCAACCAAGCTAACACAGCTGCCCTGTGTACCAGCCTGGGATACATGATTAGCTTTCTGCCTTATATCGTCCTGTTGGTCCTACACAACCAACTCAGTTTTGTCATTCAAAGCTTACTGGTAAGTGAGTTGCTCTGTAGAAATGCAAAGTACAGCAAAGAGATGTCAATGAACAAACAAAGCACACCTCCCCCCCCCGCAGCTTGCAAATGTGTCACGTTCTGGCGTATGTGATGTGTCTGAGGTCTCCACTCTGTATTCTGCCCACATATGGAGGACTATGATGGTGGTTCATTGACTTGCAATGGTTTCTGTTGATGTAGTGGCAGCCCATTAAGAAGTGTCAGTTTTCTGTAATGGGGTTTCTCTGAGGACTCTGGGAAATCAGTAGCAACCTAAAGGAAACATATAACTTTAGATTCTCTTTGTTTCATGCATGGAAAGAAATAGATTTCTGAAGCTATTCTGGAAGTTAAAAATAAGCATTTTTCTTGAAGCATCATGAATTACATCACATTAAGTGTAAAGATCTCTCCCTTAGCAATGTCAGAATCACTCATCCATTTGAAATGTACGCCCTGTAAAAGAATGAGAGTGCTTTCAAGTCTGCAATATAAAATACATTGGAGACAGAAACTTATTTTTTCTTAACTATTGTAGAGTAGGTATGGGGCCTGTCACATAGTAGGAGCTCAGTCACCACAGAGGGCATGAACAAATCAATATCAATCAGTTTCTTCACTTAGCTGGGGTTATGCCTATACCAATTTGCATTACTTCTCCAGCAGGTCAGGCAATGTCCTGAAATAACAGTCTGTAATGAGGAGGGATCAGAGAAATTTGGAATCCCTGGATTGCTAAGGCATATTTAAAGGCTTTTAAAAGTCCTTTGTCCAGCACAGAAAGACCACTGTATCACTTACTCCTGGGAAACAGAACACCTTCTTGTTCTTTCAGAACCTCAGAGGAAAATATATCTATGACAATCAAATTACTTTTCTCAATTTCAATTGACAATTCAATAGAAGTTAATCAATGTTCTCTCTTTTTTGGGGGGGGGGGAAAAAACTTTTTAAATATTTTTTTTTTTTTTTTTTTTTTTTTTTTTTTTCTGGTACTGAGGATTGAGTTTAGGCCTTTGAGCATATGAGCATATGAGGCAAGTGTCCTACCACTGACCTGTAACCTTTTTGCCCCAGATGGCCTTGAACTCACTCAAGTAGCCCAAGCAGGCTTTGAACTTGCAGTTCTTCTGCCTCATCTCCCAAGTAGATGGGATCACAGGCCTGCACCACTAGGCCCAGATGTTCTGTGTTTTTTTTTTTTTTACCTAGCCCATCTACACACCACATAGCTATGCACACAAGGGAAATGGTTATATTTAATTAGTATCTGTTGTATAGCTAATGAACTGATATTCATCCATCAGTTTGATTAACTTATATCACACCTGAAGTAACTCATAACCAATAATTTAATGTTAGAATTAATTAGGTATGGGACCCTTACTAAATTCCTTACACTGTGAATCATTGACGATTTGACCTAAGGTTCAAATGCTCTTATTTTTGCTTATTCTTCAATCCTTAAGTTTAAGGCATCACTTGTTACAGTATATGAGTTCCTTTTTACCTATTCAAATGCTTTCTAGCCATTGATAACCATTAACTCTGGTACATAGCGTTTTTAAATCCAAGATGTTTTTCCAGCGGACTTTCTTTTCTGATGTAGGACCTCTTCCACTGAAGATGAAATAACATTTTCCTTCAACACACTCCCTTTTTGATGTAGAAATGTATATTCATTCCATCAGTCTTCTTGCATTGTGCTCCAGGGCATACACTTAATAATAAAAAATAGTAAATTGTTCTATTCTATTTTCCACTGTTTTGTGTTACACATTTCTATATTTCATGCATTGGATTTATGACACTTCAAGTGTTGCAGTAAAAAAAAAAATCCTTTTAATGTTAAAAACTAGCTGGTTAGCATGTATTGCAGAGCAAGATGACATTCTACTAAGCTTTTCAGGCTCAGATATTTAAATTACTGCTTGAAGCAATGTATCCTTAGAATCTTAGATTTGGGAGGTGTTGTGGTGCCTCCTTTGAATTTGGTGTTGTGGGTTTTCTGTGGTCAGAATCAAACACTAATAGTTTTCTCCTCACTCCATCAACCTCCGGTAGTGCTTGCTTTCAACAACTGCCTTTGGACAAGGAGTATTTTTCATCACGTTTCTGGAAGGACAGGAGGAAGGTAAGCGATTGCCCTTTCAGAAGGCGACTTTCTGTGAGTCGGGTTTTGGAAATGTGTAGTTATGTCATAACTAAACTGGCAGGATGTTTTTGTTACCAGGTAGAAAATGGGAAGCAGATCCTGGTGTTTGGTTGTGCTGATACAGAGTCCCCCCCCTACCTAGTTGCTCTAGTTTGGAGCACAGTCAAAGACAATCTCATCTCAGTGTCTTTTGCTGCAGATATCGTCCAGTTCTGGTTCTTGGCTCTTGCTTAGGGCACATGGTCAACCTACTGACCTTACAGATTTTTCCAAGAACAGGGCACATGCGTGCATCCCAACTTGAGAGTATGATTGAACTAGGATAAATCTTTCTGAGTCCTTTGCCACATTTTCTACTTTTCTCTAGTTCCTTTTTTACATGATAATCTCACATATTTGTCAACTCTCATCTTCATTATTTGCTTGATCTGAAGTCTCACCAGTGCAGAAGTGGGCATAGTTATTAACACACACACATACACGTATAGTTATTATGTAGCTTAAATATTCTTTTTTGAAACAGGGTCTCTAGCTCAAGGTGCCTTTGAACTCCCTGTGTAGCCAAGGATGACCTTGAATATCTGATCCTCATGCCACCGTCTTCCATATGCTGGGATCACATGCATGTACCACAGTGCTGGAGATTGAATCCAGGACCTTGTGCATGCTAGGAAAGTACTGTACCAACTGAGCTGTATTCCCTTAAAAATAATTAAAATTATTTTACATTTTAAAAATACATTGGCAGTACTTTTCACTTAGATTGAGATTTTCACCATAAATTCTTAAATAAGAACATCTATTTCTTAGATGTTCATGTGATTTGGAAAAAGCAGGTCTGGAGAGATGGCTCAGTTGTTAAAAGCACAAGCTGATCTTCCAGAGGACACAGTTCAGTTCCTAGCACCCAAATGTGGTGGCTTATAACTATCTATATGCAATTCTAATTCCAAAAGATCTGACACCCTCATCTGGCTTCTGTGAGCACTGCATGCATGTGGGACACATACATACATGCAAGCAAAACACTCATGCACATAAAATAAAAACAATTTTTTTTTATAGAGCAGAATATATGCTACAAATAAAATTCAGTTCAGGGATTCGGGGATCACTTCAGCATCCAGTAAATCTACACTGTTTAGATTTCTTCAACATTTGCAGTAAGACACATTAAAAGATACTTTTAATCTTTAATCATTTTGTGTGCTTTCCTCCAACTGATCTTCAAAGTAAAAACTGGATCAAGAAGATATAGAAGAAAAATAGTCAAAATTAAATTACTTGCTTATTTTGATACAAATGAAACTTTTTTTTCCTTCTGAGTTCTACCTTAGGGGGTAGAAAGAGGAATTAATTTTTTTCTTTTGTTATTTTTATTTTTTGTGTCTGAGTGTATTGCCTGCATATATGTTAAGTACACCTATATCATGCAATGTCTGTGGAGGTCAGAAGAAGGCATCAGATCACCTGGAACTGGAGTTATGGATGGTTGTTAGCTGCCATGTTGGTGCTAGGAACTGAACCTGGGTCCTCTGCAAGAGCAGCCAGTGCTCTTAACAGCTGAGCCATCTCTCTAGCTGCCAGAATTTGTTTCTTAACTTATAGTTTAATTCAGAAATAAATTTCCAAAGTAAGAAAATAAATCACTACCACCCTAGAACATCTATATATTATTTAACATATTTTCTAAGAGCAGAGAGGATAACATAATTGAGAGTTGAGGTTCCAAAGGAAATTTTATTTGAGAAATGCTTATTGTCTATGCATATGAAGTTGCTTTTTAGTTGAGTAAATAAAACCTGAGATAAATGACTTTCAGAAGTTTTGGGATGTTGGAGAGTGACATGATGTGCCATTGAAACAAAGGTGAGAGCACACAAGTTCACATCACCTTGAAGAGCCAGTGCCTCTGGTGTTGAGCAGAGGTGAGCGTGCCCAAGATCACGTCACCTTCAAGAGCTAGCGGCCCTGGTGTTGAGCTTTCTTTTGCATCACATGAGCCTCTATTAGAACTAATAAGCTCCCTTATGAAAGCCTACAGCAGAAGATGTACAGTGTGACTCTGCTTTTTCCCTCCCTGCCAGGGATCCAGTGGCATAATATGTACCGAGCTCCAGAACCAGGGGGCATGACATTCGGCTGGGTCTGCTGGGTGATTCTATTTGATTCAAGCCTTTATTTTTTATGTGGATGGTACTTCAGCAACTTGGTTCCTGGTAAGAATTCTTCATTTTTATGAGATAACAGAGTAAACTTTAAACATTCTTTAAACCTGTGCACATAAATATTAGAATAATTGTTCTTTGTAGTAGATACCCATAAGAGAAGCCTTAGGACTTATTTTAAAGAGCTGTGAATTTGAGGAGAATCTATAACCCAAGTGAAATGCCAAAGGCCAGGTGAGGTCTCTGTAGGATGAATGAAGGCTAAAAGTCCTTTATGCCCATCCACCTTATAGCTCTTAACAGAACTGTTGTACAGGTTTCTGTAGACCACACAGCAGAGCTTGTGTTTTCTGAGACCCAGTGAGGAGAGCCAAGGTGGGAAAGTCTCAGGCCTCTGGTAGTTTTGGCTTCTGGATAGCAATGAAATCTAGCTAGAATAAGGGATGTCAAGCAAGAACTCTGAAATTTAGCTGAAACAGCCCTAAATCCCACTGAAATTTTGTTTTAGATCACAGTTTAGTGAAATGAAAGGAGCAAGTCTTTTGCCTAGTCTAGAAACAAGATGAATCAGGCCAGAGCACAGAGAGCATCAACAGGCCTCTGGGCATTTCCAGAGAGGGAACCCCTGGGAGAACTGGTGAGTAAAAGAAAGAGGAGACATGGAGAGAGACAGGGAGACAGATGAGCGAAAGCCCTGCTGGCCATACCCAGCTTGGCATGTGTAACTAAGCTGAATTTTCACACCGAGGTAGTGGCTGTATCTGGCAGGGAAGGTGATTTTGGTACTGTTACTGTCACCACAGTGATTGCTTTGAAAGATGAGTAGCTATGTGCTGGTGACGGTGACCTACCTGCTCTCTCAGGAGACTGGAATGCTATGGAACTGTGTGGAAAAGTGTAGCTGGCTGGGAAGCAGGTGAGAGAAGGGTCAAAACACAAACCAAGGGGATGTTTGTCAGCATCAGAGCTCTCCTGTTTTGGGGCTGGAGAGATCGCTCAGTGATTAAGAGCACTGGTTGCTCTTGCAGAGGACCTGGGTTTGGTTCCCCACATGGTGGCTAACAACCATCCATAATTCCATTTCCAGGGGATCCACACTCTCTTCTGACCTCCACAGACAGTGCACAACATGGGTGCACTTATATATATTCAGACAGTACAGTCATACATAAAAAGAACTCTCCAGCTGGCCACACTGACAGAGGGGCAGGGCCCTGGGGCTGCAGGACAACTGTGGATGGAGCTGAACAGGGAGGGGTTTCATTTTCCAGATTGTAAAAGAATGAGGAGGAAAACTAAGATTATTAAAAGTAATAATTAAAATCAATTGACAAAAAGCTCAGAGCAACTAACGTGAGAACAGCCGTTACTTATCAGCCCTGCTGATAAAAACAAATCCTCTTGTTTGCATGAGAAAACAGGTGAATAATCTTTGCTTTTGGTTCTGCAAACATACTTCCTTCTTGGAATTCAAACTTATGGCTCCACCTCTTTTAGAACATGTAGGCTGGAGACCCCTGGTCACTTAGTCTGGAAGGCCCAGTGATTCCCCACACCCACCAATGCCAGCGTGAGTCTGAAATGACTCTAAATTGTTGATATTTACTGGAAAAGGACTGTTGCTTATTGCTCAGGCTTTGTAGATAACTCTCCTGAGCCTGCTGCCTTAGGGATCAGAGATAAAAGCTATATTTCCTATCCTGTCCTCGGGTACCTGATTTGAAAGCTGTGGTTCCCTTACAATTCTTCCTGTTACAAAAAAGCATGTCAGCATGACTCTAATGTGAGAATAGATATCAAATTAAGAGTAAAAAAAATGTAGGCAAACATAATTCAGAATTGACTAAATGAAAAAAGAGGCTGTATTATTGAACAGGGATATTTATTACTGTAAGTATGTTGGTTTTCTGCAAATTAATGTACAAATTTCTATAGTCTCAAATTCAGTGATATCTCACGAGCATTGTAATGTAATGAATCTTACATAAGTCATTAAAATTAAAATGTCCCAAAGTTCAAATTTGTTTTGAACTGAAAAAATGTTACTGAAGGATAGCTAGAAATATAAATTAATGATAATGACCAAAATTGTTAAAATATAATGGGGAATAGTAGAGGCCGATAATTCTGCAAAATCTCTCTATAAATCAGTAAAGATTAAAATAGTGTAATACATACATAATGTAGATTGAGCAATTGAGGGACTGAAGAGATGCTCAGTGGTTAAGAAGTGCTTACTGCTCTTGTAGAGGGCCTAGTCCAGATCCCGGCACCCATGTGGGCTGCTCATAACCACCTGGAACTCTAGCTCCAGGGGCTCTGACATTATCTTCTAGCTTCCTCAGACACCTGTACTCACATGTACATACCCACACACAGACATAAACACATACACATAATTAAAAAGAAAATGAAATCTTAAAAAAGATTGAGCAGTTGGGGCTGATGTGTAGTTCAGTTGGACAGTGCTGACCTCACATGCTCAAGATCTTGAACTCACTCCTCAGTCCTGGAGAGGGGCTGGGGATTCAACAGAGAGAAAACAGACTAGGAAATTTAGAAACAAGCTCAAGTGCATTTTTTTTTACTCTTTTAAGGTTGACATTTTAATCCATGGAAAGGTTAAATTATTGTTCAATTTATTATGCAGAAAAATTTAAACTCTTGTTCATACATTTAATAGAAATAGTGTTAAAATAATGAAGAAGATAAAATAATGAAGAAGTTTGGGATGTAGCTCAGTGACAGAGACCTTCTTTAGCCTGTGCAAGACTGGGTATGATTTCTAGCAATAAAATCAATAAATAAAAATAAATCACACTAAAACTTGAATAGGAAATGCATGATTTTAGATATAGGGAAAGCCTTTCTTAAAGACTTAAATAACTAAAACAGTGAAAATCAGGGGCTGGAGAGATGGCTCAGTGGTTAAAAGCATTGGCTACTCTATAGAGGACCCAGGTTTAGTTCTCAGCACCCACATGGTGGCTAACAACTCCAGTTCCATGGCATCAGACACCCTCTTCTGGCCTCTATAGATATCACATATACTGGTGCATTTACATACATGCAGGCAAAATACTCAAACAAAGATAAATCAATAAAAACATTTAAAAGGAAAAAAATAATAAACACCAGAAGAGTTCCCTATATAAGAATTTAAACAAATATTTCAAGCTAGTCAAATAGAATTATAGGCAAATGTATAAGCTTTTAAAACTTTGCTAGCTATGTGAAAGAAAAAGCTAATTTTCTCAAATTAAAATTTAAAAAGATATATCTCAATAGAAATATCAGCAAATAACTAACAGGCCATTTTCTCAGAAAACAATATGTATTTAGTAAACTACAAAAAGCTTAATGTCACATAAATCATGTTTATGAATGTATGAAAGATGACCTTTTCTTTCTGCTGCAGGCAAGTTTTATAAAATGATTATATTTAGCATAGAGATACATAAAAAGAAAAAAATTGGTGATAATGCTAAATTTACTACCATTCTACAGCATCAAATTTGTAATATGTATACAGTTTTTTAAAATGTTTGTTCTTTTTGATATAAAAATGTAAATACCAAAGGTGTGAACACATATGTTCACTGAAGATTCTTTATGAAAGCAAAAACCTGACAAAACTGTTTCTAAGAATAGGGGATGGCTTGGGTTATTTCTGTTATGTTCTAGTTTGGTTGTCTGGAGTAGTGTTCAACTGCTGAACTTGACTTTCAAAGAGGATGCACTGAGAAGGAAAGTGTGTCCTGAGCTGCTGTCAGCTCACAACTGTCGTCTGTGAAGTGAGGCACAAAACAGATCAACAGTCAGTTTAAAGGTTTTAGAAACATACGACTTGGAATTTGTGCCAAGATATTAAAGTTTATGTGGAATCTTGTGTTTTTTATTCTGTGTTCACAGAGGTGCTGAACACAAATTTCTTTTATAATTCTAAAATAAACTATACAGATTTACTATATGGCTTTTTCAAAGTGCCAAATCATTTAATAAAAGAAAAAGAAACTTAAGTGTCTGGGTGTAGCATACAACTACCTAGGGAGAAACAGACACTGGAAGAAAATTAGCCGGATACTGGCTGAAAGCAAATTTGTTAAGTGTTCAACTCAGGGTTGTTAACTGTAGGAACAATTTTATACAGTGCATATGTAGAATTTATTGTGAGAAGCAATGATCTTCACTTTATAATAAGAGTCCTGGAGACTTAAAGTAGTGAAATGAAGCAGTTTATTTTTCTACCTTACAGAGTTGGGTATCAGCCTTGAGAAAAGGCAAAAATGGCCAGAGTGCTTGGTGCAAAACTGGTTTGTATAGTCTCTGATCATGAAAAATTCCTGCCTTCTTTTTCCCATAGGCCTGGACTCAAGAGTTACAATCTCTCCCTTGTCTAGCATAGTCCCTCTGTGAACTCCCAATCCTCTGGGGACTCACAATCCCTCTCTCTTTCCCGACACTTGGATGACCTGCTGGAACTGTGGCCTCTGGGAGAGTCACCAGTCCCTCTCCCCCTTCCTCCACAGAAATTGTTTCTTATCCTCTCAGCAAAACTTATCCAGTCATGACTAGTTAGGTCCGATGGGAGTTGATTTTCCAAAGACTCCAGTGAGTGAATGAGAATATGACCATTAATGAAGGGTGTCTTAGCTCCATCCCAGGACCCCTGTGGCTCCTGAAATCATTGTAAGGGTGCTTGCCCGAACCTCTGTGTATGTTCCTGTGTCTTCATCTGTGTGCCTGTGATGGTGCCTGTGTGGTGACCATATCTTTGAAAGCTATTGTATAAAAACGTGTTGATCTTTATAACGTGTCCTTAAGTTGAAGTGGGTTAGAGCTGAAGTTTGCTTTTTTCTTTTTGGAAATCCCAGTGTGTGAAGACATGCAGTTAGTTCCTCTGGGGCAGAAAGGCTGAGCACGGCAGAGCTGGTCTTTCCTTCCTTCTGACTCTGAAAATGTAGGTTGTCATCTACCACATGGGTCTACTTTTACTGTAAAATGTTTGAAGAGTTCTTACATATGTTTTTGGAGAAGCCGGAGAAAGAATTCCACTTATTTCCCTAACCAGAAGTAATGCTATCTTTCCCCTTCTTTTTCTTCAGACACTTTTGTATATATCATTGGGTTATTTAAATTTTTTTGTTTGAAAAAATAGTGTCATCAGAAGCATCTATCCATATCTTTAAAAACATTAATGGCGACTCAGCATCTTGTTAACAGAAAGAAACAGTTTCCCGCACATTTCTTCTGCTTTGAAAGTCTAATTAACATCTGTCTTTTCCTGTTTAAATGATGGAGCAGTGACTGTTTGCACACAGAGGATGTCTTCACCTTTGTCTTATTTACCATCTAGAATTTCAATGACTAATTCAAATCTATAAACCCTGAGTGTCTGAATCCTGCACTGACTTGCCCCTCATTTCCCTCAATGATGACTGAGCATGTGGACTTAGGTAGCCCCGAGTGGGACTGGCCAGTACCTCAGATCAAGGGCAGCAGATGGCAGATCAGAATACTTTTCTTGATGTATTCATTTATTTATTATGTCTTTCTGTTTCCACAAGTGCTTTGTATGCATGTGTGTGATGGGTTTTATTGGATCATTTGAAGTTAAAGGAACAGGTGCCAGAGATGAGGTAAACTTGTTTTCTTGCTTGAGGCGAAGGTACCTTGTATGGAAGGACACCAGTGTCTTCTAGCTGCTATCCCTTTGGATAGGAAGGTAAGGTGAGAGGCAAAGCCAGCCGGCATGTGGCTTCTGGTTCCATTAACCTGCTGTTGGACAAGCTTTTCTGTCCCTCCTTTTCCATTGTGAAGACAAAGGTGGTATACAGGGTTGGCACACTGGTGGCCATAGGACTTGTGAGTGATACAAATCCAGAGTCTGGAGACAAGAGAGCCAGGGTAACCCTGCTGTGATATGAATTATTTATCCAGGAGACTCATCCTTTTCCTCCAAAGGGGTAGGGAGGAACTGCATGGTTCTGCGCAGGGCCACAGTCAGGGAGGCATCAACAACAGATATTGGCTCTGATTGCTGAAGGTTACAAGTCTGAGACAAGGACATGAGAGGTGGGTTCCTCTCTCTTTGACTTGTAATTGGCTGATGTCTCCTAATGAGCTACATGGTCTTCCCTCAGTGTGTCTGTCCTAGTCTTCTTTCTTGGTTTTTGTTTGTTGTTTGAAAAACAAGTAGTTACCTTTGGACTTCAGTTTGCGGTAGCTACTTCTTTAAAGACTGCATTTCCCCAAACACACATATTCTGAAGTACCAGGATTAGGGTTTCAACACAGGAATTTGGGGGACACAAGCAAATGTCAAAACAGTGGCCAAGACTACTGACCTAGTAACAGCCGTTCACCCTCCCTTCACTCTTCAGAGATGATGGCTCCATTCATGTTCCTTTGAGCATAGGAGTCTTTTTCTACTATGGTGATTAGAATACGTAAGCAGTTGCACATCTCTCCTCTGCTGGATGGTCATGGTACTGAAATAGTCTTTTGTAGCCCTTTTTTATTTCAATCATGATCAAGTTTGTTTTCTGTTGTGATAAACACCATGACCAAAAGCAACTGAGGAAGGAAAGGGTTTATGTAGTGTACACTTCCAGGTAACAGCCCATCACTGAGGGAACTCAGGGCCAGAACTCAAGCAGGAGCAGAGGCAGGAACTGGGGGTGGGGGTGGGGTGGGGGTGCTGCTTACTAGCTTCCTGTCTTGCTCAGTCCCTGAATCATGCTCAGCTCATTTTTTTTTTTTTTTTTTTTATCATACCACCGAGGCCACCCCCCCAAAAGATGATACCCCCAACAGCACGCACGGCCCCCCCATCTACCATTTTTTTTTTTTTTTTTTTTTTTTTCTTTTTTCTTTTTTTCTTTTTTTTTTTTTTTTTTTGTTTTTTTTTTTTTTTTTTTTTTTTTTTTTTTTTTTTTTTTTTTTTTTATCATACAGCCCAGGTCTACCTCCCTAAAGATGATACTACCCACAGCATGCTAGGCCCGCCTACATCAATCAGCAATCATGAAAATGCCCACATACATGCCCACCCGCCAATCTGATCTAGAAAGTCCCTTAGTCGAAGTTCCCTATTTCCAGGTGACTCTGGTTTGTGTTAAGTAGACAATAAAAACTAACCACTGTAAGTAACTTGTAGAGGTTAGGCCTTTAGGTACATTTCATTCAGGCAACTTAAACTAAAATGTGTGTTACAGGAAATCGAGATGTGCTAATAAAGCCCATTTCATTTCTTTCCGTGTGTAATAAGGGGAGACTGAGTGCTGAATATGCACTGGGATGAATGTGGAGAACGAGTCTGAAGAACGTGGGTGTGTTTCCACAGGAAACACAAGCGTTTTCAATTATCCTTTGTGGAAGATTTGCTGACTCATTTTCTCCTACACTGATGTCATGCTTTTTTAAATCTAGTAATCTTACAAGATCAAAGGCAGGCTAAGGAAGAGCACTGGAAGCCCAGGGGCAGAGCGGGTAGAACACGGCCTCTGGGGAGCACCCAGCGTTTATTCAAGATGTTTACTGAACACTTCTTAAGGCTACTTTGGGGAAGTGGATGTGAGGGGGACCAGCAGTTGCCTTGGATTTAGGTTTAGGAGGGAGATATAGGGTTCCCCTCTGGGGGATTTGCTGTCCTAAGCCATCACTGGTTTATGGGAGTAATGTCTATTGAAGAATTTTACATATGAATTAGTTAAGGCATTCTAGTCCAGAAGCTTTGTCTATACAGACAAATACTTATGCCAATTTTAATTGGATCTTGTTTCCTTAGGAACATTTGGTTTTCAGAAGCCCTGGTATTTCCCCTTCACTGTATCCTACTGGGAAAGTGTGTGTGGCCTGATGGGGAAGCAGAAACTGTCTCTGAGTGAGGGTCTGTTTTTTTACAATGAAGACTTGGGCAGTAAAGGTTAGTAAACAGAAACACGATTACGTGCATTTTTCTCTGTTTGGCTTTGCTTTTTGTATAAATGCTGGATGAGCATTTATAGCTTTGTACAGATTCTGAAGTACTCAGGCTGTCCTGGGCTCAGAAATAGCCATGGGACTGAGTGGCAGACACTGTGCCTCTCAATGTCTGCATAAGTCCTGGAAGTCAGAAAGGTCACATCACTATGTTTCGCAGGGCTCCTCTCCGAGTAGTAGTTTACCAAAATTCAAAATAAATATGTGAAAATAAAATAAAAGGCAGGCAGCTACCAGGTGTCGTGCACTCTAAAATTTCAAAGTATGAATAAATATTACTTCCTGTTAAAACCAGTCAGGACATTGAAAGTTTCTATGGAAAGGAGAGTAGAGCCTTCAAACCACCCTGTATTCCATTATGACTCTCTCCAGTAGGCCAGGCAATGCCAGCCCCACACAATGCCCACTCATAGCCGTGTGAACTGAGGTGAGCTGACATGGACCAGCTAGCCCTTGTCATGGTGTCTGGGTCAATAATGGAAATTTTACCTTTTTCTAATTAAACAGGTAAAATATGAATGTTTTAGGAAACTTGAAATATATTCTCCAGTGCCCGTCCACTCCCATCTCAGGAGAGGATTTCCTGTAGCCATTCATGGTGCGACTAGACTGCCTATCTATAAACTCACTTGTGTACATTTATTTTTATTTCTTAATACAGTCGTTACCATATCATAAGGGTTCAAAGTTTTGTTTAGTGACTTTAGTTCATTTTTGCCCTTAAATACTTTGATTATTGTTTGAGTAATGAATAATTCTGGAGGTATTTGGCATAGCCCACAGTGCTAGAATTCTACTCTGAAGGAAAACAATAATTTGATAAGAGTGAGCATTATTGTCCAGGCCTTTGAAATCTTTCCATGTGAATATCCATTTTCTTTACAGGATCCTCACAGCAAAATGGATCAGGAGAGCTAGAAGGAGGTACTCCGGGAGTGGCCTTGATATCTGTGACCAAGGAGTATGAGGACCACAAGGTGGCTATCCAAGACCTCACACTCAATTTCCACGGAGGCCAGATCACAGCCCTGCTGGGGACCAATGGTGCTGGGAAAACCACTATCATGTATGACCCATTTTACCTTTGGTTGAGCCTTAAACATACTAGTTTACCTTTCATGTGGAAAGCATATTTTCTCTTCCTCTCTCCCTTCCTCCTGCCTTCCATTCTCCACTTCCTCCATCTCTCCTTCCTCTTTCTTCCTGTTCTTTTCCCCATTGTTTTGTTTTGAATCTTAGTATAGAGCTTAGCGATACAGAAGAGAGAACATCCCTCTCTTCAACTTCTCCCCCACTCCCAATCACCTTTTAGACCTGAAGTACATTCCAAGGGGGAAGCATGGACAGGCTTTTTTAAAAAAGACTCCAGTTCATTTATTTTCCACGAATAATCCATCATGATCCACTTTAGTCTTTGGAAATCCTCTGACATGTTTAGTTTTTGTCCTATTTATGTGTTATTTTGTTTGCATAATAAATTTTGTTTGCAGTGTAATTTTGTTAGGAAAATGAAGAGAAGAGGCATCTTTGCAAATTAAAAAAAAATTTCTAGTTTTTCATCTTTTTGTGTGCTGTTTTCTCGTTAAGTCTTGGCTTTTGGTTTAGGATCCAGTGGTTTCTGATTTGATTAAAGAATTCAATCATGTGGCCCCAGAGAAGAAATGAATTCAAATATTCATAGCTTTGAGATGGTTGTGTAACAGTGCTTTATTTAAGGAGTGTCTATTTGGAGAAAATCACTTTGTTCTTTTTCTTATCAAATACATAGGTCTGAAGTATGATTAGTAAAAACAATGAAAATGAAATAGTCTCAACCTTATTAAGAAAGGTAGAAACATAGTGTACATGGAGTTCCAGGAAGCTCCCGTTGGAAACAAATCAAAAGGAAGAATATGGATGTATTATTTGTACCTTGGATGGTGAAATGGAACTGAAAAATCTCTTTTATTAGTACTTACAAATTGGGAATGTACAAGTTACACAAATCATAGCTCAGCAAGCTTTTGCTAATGCACATATCTTACAAGGAAAACTCGATGTGCTTGTCTAGCTGATTGAGGAGAATTAAATTAAGAGGTGCTCAGTGTTTCAAGGTTCACTGACTACTTTGCTTTCCGTGACATCTGAAGTACATGCAGAGTCTTCCTTGGTGCTCATCTCTTACTGGCAGTGCTTGGCGTCTGAGAGCCAATGAGTCTTAAACATTCCAAACAAGGGTCTTCGAGACTCAAACCTTTCTGTACAATCAGTGCTCTGTATCCACAGATGCACATCCACAGATTTACCCAAAACTATTTGAGAAATATTGAATCTGTACCAAACATTCATGGACTTTTTCCTTCTGAGTATTTATACAAAAACACAATATAGAAACTATTTAGTGTACATAGAAGGATTGTGCAGGCATATGCATATTACCATTTCATTTAAGAAGCTGGAACATCTGCAGATTTGGGTATAGGTGGGGCATCCTGGAATCAATTCCTAAGGATACTGTGGGGGCAGGTCACTACATTTACTTCTTTGTAGTATTCCCCAAAGAGGTTTGAAAATAATATAACAGAATTCCTAATGAAGTGTATTGAGGCAACAGTATCTTGTGTATGTATCTCAGTGAGGGTTGGCGTGTTGGGGTAATGTCAGAGCAAACACCACGGTGAAGATAAAGGACATTTTCCCCATCCAAGATTTCTCATGCTGTCCCTTGACCCTGGTCCCCAGTAACCCACTTACCAATGTTTGTTCCTATAAAATAGTTCACTTATAAGTGCAACTGTGCCTGGCTTCTTTCACTCAGCATATTTACCCAAGTCTGACACAACTATATATCATACTATATTCCACAGCAGACTGGGGACTCTTACATGCCCTCCTTTCCAAGGATAACCACTCAAGGTCCACATGAGCTCCTTCCAAGTTTTAAGTGACTGTGTGGAAAAATGTTCAGTGGAAAATTGTGTGCTCATAGGCTGTGCACGTGGTCTCGGGGCTGTCTGACTCACTGATATTCAGAGATCCAACAGGAGGTGTTCTCTGTCCTGATGTTTTATTCTCTGGCAGATCCATGTTGATGGGGCTCCACCCTCCCACTTCTGGAATCATCATCATCAATGGCAAGAACCTGCAGACAGATTTGTCCAGTGTCAGAGAGGAGCTGGGCGTTTGTCTGCAGCGGGATGTTCTGCTGGACAAGCTCACTGTCCGGGAGCACCTGCTGCTCTTCGCCTCCCTAAAGGTACCATGGTGGACCAAGAAGGAACTACAGCACCAAGTTGATAAGTTAGTAAACAATTCTCTCTTTATTCTTCCTGCACAGTTATGTAAGTGAATAACATGGAAACATTTAATAGCACCATCAGTATCTATATTTACAAGAAAAATCAGCAAACGGTTCCCACATAGGAACTGTGCCATACCTAGCAGCACTAGCGATGTTAGGGAAGGTTTTTCTCAGGGAAGGCACTGGATTTCATTGGTTTGTGTTTGAAGTGAGGAAGAACTGAGACATCATGGAAAGTGTAGATAGGCAGTGGATGGAAGTTTTGTGTGTGTAGAATAAAGAGGTCTTGGGCATGTTCTGAAGTAGACCGAATACAAAAACAGGCAACGAAACAAGTCAAAAAGAACCTTATCCATTATTCCAAAGAGCTGGAACTTTACTGGGCATGTAGTTGTGAATGGGCAAGGTACTGCAAGGTCGACATTGCCACACTACAGCAGGTGCACAGCCTTTGGGGAGACTGTAGACAGAGAAGCGGCATCCTTGATGTTTGCTTTGACACCACTCCCATCATAGGCGGAAAAAATCATTAATAATAAACCTGGGACAACAGCCACTAGAACAGAAATCTCTTTGTCATAGGCTACCACAGATTGGAAAGTAGTATAGGACACACCACAAGATGATTGTAGACATGAGTGGGCAGGGACATCAAGGAAGCCAAGGCTTCAGGAGAGGGTGGGCAGTGGGCTGGGTTGATGAAGAGTCATTTTGAAGCAGGGAATAACCATGATTTGAGGGAGGATTAGACCAATGGGAGCCCCTGGGAAGCCTGTGAAGTCACAACTCTCCTGAGGTCTCATTTGCAATTCTCTTTGCTGGGTGATAGGGAGGCTGTCTCTAGTTTTGCAGACATGAGAGCTAATGCTCAGGAAGATGAGGCTCTACAGCTCATACAGGGAACTGAGTGACTTCCCTAGGGCTCTTAGATGCCAAGAGCACTTAGTTGTCTTTTCTTAGGGTTGTTTGCTGTACTGCAGCATGTAGGGATGGAGGCCAATAGGACGAAAATGACTAGGAGGAGAGGAAGGGCTGACTGGACCATTTTAGTGCTACTGCCTTGAACGTCCCTGTGGAAGTTCCAATGACCTGAGAAGTGAAAAGGATTTGTTACTAGCTCTTCTCCATGTTTCTAATAAACACAGGTGATAGCAGTTTCAAAGGACATTCTCATGACTAAGGCCTGTTCCCTAGCATCCATCGCTTGGACATCTTCAGATGCAGAAGGATCCGGATATACTGAGATTCTAGAGAGATGGGACTTGGTGATGTCGTGGAAGTTCTTTCGTTATAAGTAAAACAAGAGCACAAACCTGGAATGGGAAACTTACATATTATGCAGGGGCCAGGATGCAAAACTAGAGCATAGTTGAAACCTCCTGTAGGTCTCCCTGACAGTTTCTTTGTAGAGGCCTACACTAGGAAATGATAAAGTGCTCCTCAGAAATGCTCCACTGCACGTTTCATTTTCCCACTCTTTGAAGAGATCAGTATTTATATGATCACTAATTGAAATAGCTGGCTATGTGTGACACCAGCTATGACAAGTGCATATGTAGAACAAATGTCCCCCAGACAGATGCAAATTAGGGTCGAACTCATGGAAAAAATAAAACCTCAAGGGACAGGAGCCCCTGTGGAAAGTGGCATATGGTACCAAAAAGTTTGTTTAAATAGTTCTTCCTTCATTTCCTTTCTCTCAAAATTTACCTTGTTGGAATGTTACAAGGATATTTTCTGCAAAAGGCACTGTCTGCCTACCTAACAATATCCTTGGGAAGTGGGTGATAGTAGAAATAAGTTATTGACACTTGTCTCCTGAATGTTTAACATGTACTAAAGATGACTCAGATTGCTTGAGATATTCTGTATGAAATATTAAAAAATCTAATAAAAACAAATTAAAAAATCTTAAACTTGAGCAAGTACTCAGTATGAAATAACTAGATATTGTATGGACTACCTATATACTAGAGAGCAAAATGGCTACATATAACCTATTTTTTCCTGCTAACAAGCCATAGGCCGCTTGTTCTAATTAATATGTTTCTTTGGTATATTTTTAGCTATCATACAAAATGCTGGGTTTGATTATGGCACTTCATACATGTCTGCCATTGTGTTTTGCTCATGCTCACCCCACTGGCCTGCATCATCCCCCTCCACTCTCCTGCTGGTACCTTTCCTCCTTCTAGTTTAGAAACTCTTTTTCTTTCTTGTCATGTATGAATATATGTATATATATACATGTATATGTATATTCATATATTTAAAAATATGGATTCTACATAGTTACTTATGTTTGAAAAATTGTGACTACCCTGGGCCATTCTAAACTCTATTGTGATTGTGACTGGGGCCTTAAATCAAACACCTGACAACGCCACTTAGGCTTCATGTTTTTGTTTTTTTTTTTATTTGGGTACCAGGCAACCTTAACGGTTATCAATTCCCAGCATGTTACCTAGCAACAAAGCCAATTTGCACAAAAGCAATCAGAATGAGATCATGTTTTAGGACAGCAGTTCTCAATTAGAGGGAGGGAAAAACTGAAAACATTGGATTTGGAGCCAGCATACTTCTTATTAGTGTCCTGTAGCACTGCTTGTTTTCCTTAAGGTCTGGATTCATTAAAATGTGGGTTCGAGGGAGGCAGCAGATAGTGGAGCTTGTAGAATCTTTGTGAACATTTTTTAAGAGGCAAATCATGACTGTTGAACCTTTTGTTTGATCTAGAGTAGGCAAGAACAGCCAAGAGAGGAACATCCTCAGGTCTGGAGTCATTGAGACATTGTTATTTTGTTATCGCATATAATTCTTGTGGCCATTATACTCAGGTTAGAGGCAGATTGACTTGATGAGATCAGTATGTGAAAGTAGACTGGAGAAGAGATCATGGTGAACCCTGGATACTGTAACCCAATGATGATGGGAGATGAAGAATAACCAACTAGCCAGTGAGGCAGGGAATAGAGACCAGCAGAGGAGGAAGACCAGAGAGAGAACCTAGCCTCCTAAGTGAGTGCCTCAGTGCTGTGTAGGGAGGAAAGAAGACTCAGAACAGATCTTTGTATTTAGTACATGGAAGTCATTACTGACTTTCAAACAGAGAAGTTTGGAGATGAAGTCTTACAAAGTCAGTTAAGGAGAGAAGGTAAGGGAAAACAGCTAAAGCACATGTTCTCAGTTTCCTTTCAAAGGGAGCAGAGAAATGGGATGATTCCACAATGGACAAGTGATCTCACAGGATGGTGCAAAGACAGGACTGTTTGCATCATACCTGTTCACTACTGCTGATGGCCCAGTAGAGAAGGGATGATTGATGAGCTAGAGAGGTTTGCTGGAGCACTGCTGGTACAGGGCAATGAAGTGACCTTAAGAAAAACTAAAGATCATCTCTTCAGAGAGCACAGGTGGCTCACACAAGGCAGAGTGTGTGGGAGTCTCTATCCACCTTCATCATTTTTCTTAGTTAACAGCACGTGCATAAGCTAGCATTGTGGCACATACCTGTAATCTCAGCACTTGGGAGGTCAAGGCAAGAGGATAGGGAGCTTAAAGTCATCCTTGGCTATGTGGTAAGTTCAAAACCGGCCTGGGACACGTGAGCTATATTTCTCATAAATTACACACACACACGCATTTTAAATGTGCACTAAGAGCCATACTTTCAGGGGCAACTTCTTAGGGAGTACTTTTTGTGATAAAGAGGTTTGTGGAAATGGTGATTTGCATTATGTCATGAAAATTGCACGTGCTACTGATCAGCTGGTAGGAAAGATTTAATCTTGCAGGAGGGAACACTATAAGCAAATACTCTGAAGTTAATGTATATGTATATGTATGCACACACACACACACACACACACACACACATACACATACACACACACACACTGTTCCTAGAAGCCATAATTACTTAACAAAAAAATCCCAGTGCCAGGTATGGGATGTATTTCTATGAGTTATTTCTCAGTGAGTCCCCAGAGGTCCTCAACATAATACTAACTATTACTATCACTCTTTGTTACCTACCAGACTAGATGGTAATTCTCTATTGTTAAAGGTACTGCATAATTTGGTTGCAGGACAGAGCGAAATCAAGTTGGTATTGGAAGATTCTACCCCAGTGATTAGGTTTCACTGCGCTGGAAGGTGCTGGGGGGTGGGAGGTCATCAGTGGTCTTATCTAGCTATAAACGTGAGAGCTATGCAACTGGCCATGCAAGATGTGGCCATCGGTATAATAGTTGCATGATTGTTATGGGGGTAACCAATCACTTTCTGATTGGATTTGAGGCCCACTCCAGAGGAAGGAATTCATGCCTTGTACTGGAAACTGGAAACTTGATCATAAGCCCATGACTGGGAGGTCATAGAGCTAGAGGAGAATCTACTACTGTTGTTTTGCTAAATGGATGTGGCATCAAACTGCCTTCTAAATATTGATGTTTACACCCATAGACTAGTGCTGTTCTCAGCCTTGGGCAGAGAAGCATCTTTTTGCGGTGATAAGCAGTTAAGGCAGAGACTTAAACTGATCAGCATGCTGAGAGTAAGTGACTGTTGAGTGCTAAGCCCTAAATGGGACATTTATCTCATCCTTTCCAAATTTCAAGAAACACTGGGGAAGTGGGGGGGCAGCGGGAGGAGTATGAGACCTGAAGGATGGAGAAAGCGCTGTGAAATGTTGCACGCTGGATGTGACATGGCCATGAGCTCACAGCAGTTTTGGCTACTCCACATAAGACCTGTATGCTATAAAGCCTGTCAACATTCCATCACAGAGAGGGGAGGGCCTCATGAGGCCCCATCCTTCCTCAAGGAGCTATGGGCAGTTCAAAGTTGCTGGAGGAGGGGGAGTCATTCTCTTCAGTGATAGACCCACTGCTAAACTGCTCATGCACCAGTAACTAAATAACCACCCCAGGAACATGCTCACGTAGGAAGTACTAATGAAGCACAATGCATCACAAAAAACCCAACCCAAACCAAACAAATGAGCAAGACCCGCCTTCCGAAAGACATGAAAATAGGAGGGGGACTCTCCAGGCAGAAGAAGGGGTTCAGTGAGACTGAGAGGGGATGAGAGAGGGCGGGGGTGAGAAGGACCAAATGCACTTATACACTGGGAAATTGTCAAAGAATAATACAAAGAGAAAAGAGTGCTCTCCAATCATTAAAAATGATTCTAATGACAACTATGGACTTAAAACTTAAAGGTTGAAAAAAGAACATTATTAAAAGAGTGAAGGACAATAGAACATTGATTTTTTTTTGGTCTAGTTAGTTGATTACAGGGTTCAGAGAAGAAAAAAACATATAGTTTGTAAAGGATGCAGAGAACTGATACTCTGGAGGGAGAGGCTGTGTGACTCCATTGGAAGTAAATGGATTCAGCAGAGGTGTAGCAGAGCCCCTATGTCTCATGGGATATGAGAAGGCCCAAGGAGAGAATAGATGAAGAGAGCATTGTACCCAAGAGCAGGTCGTGGATTAGAAGAGCACAGCACATGGGTAGGGGTGTCAGTCATGGATTGGCAGAACATAGCACATGGGTAGGGGTGTCAGTCATGGATTGGCAGAACACAGCACATGGGTAGGGGTGTCAGTCATGGATTGGCAGAACACAGCACATGGGTAGGGGTGTCAGTCATGGATTGGCAGAACACAGCACATGGGTAGGGGTGTCAGTCATGGATTGGCAGAACACAGCACATGGGTAGGGGTGTGATTGTCATGGATTGGCAGAGCACAGCACATGGGTAGGGGTGCGATAGTCATGGATTGGCAGAGCACAGGACAAGGGTAGGGGTGCGATAGCTATGGATTGGCAGAGCACAGGACAAGGGTAGGGGTGCGATAGCTATGGATTGGCAGAGCACAGCACATGGGTAGGGGTGTGATAGTCATGGATTGGCAGAGCACAGCACATGGGTAGGGGTGTCAGTCATGGATTAGCAGAGCACAGCACATGGGTAGGGGTGCGATAGTCATGGATTAGCAGAGCACAGCACATGGGTAGGGGTGCGATAGTCATGGATTGGCAGAGCACAGCACATGGGTAGGGGTGACAGTTTCTGATGACCTGGGTTTGAAGGCTGGCAGTTTTAGGGAGAACAGAGACAGATGTATTGAAACTTAGAGTGATTCATCTGTCCCCACATCTAGATCCAGAGAGGGAAAAGAAAAACTAGCAGTCACGAAAGAATATTACAATGAATGTGTGACTGGCCTTTTATTCCCATCTCATTTGGAGTTCATTGTGTGACCTTTCCTTTAGTTCAAGAATAGACTTTTTTATTCCTTGCATGTGTCAGCCCCCCAGTCCTGTTAAATGCTCTCCAACTGTCCATGGAACATATTGCTCAAACATTCCAGCCTCTCCACATCCCACCATTCATCCAACTGACTGCTTACCCTGCTGTCTTTAGAGACAGAGGGCATTCCCATTGCACCTTGGACTTAGCTCTTCATATTTTATTGTTATTTCTTATCTTGCTTTTCCACCTAACTCTGACTTTCTTGAATCACAGACAAGATTTGTTTTATTTCTCTGCCCCTAGTAGGTGGCAGGTGCAATGACTGTAAGGGTTCAATAAACTTTTGCTGAATAAATGAATGGATGACTGAAGAGAACTCAAAACACAGTTTCTGGCACATAATTGGAACTTAATATAAAAAAGTCTTTCCTCCTCTACTGTGCTGCTTAACAATGTTCTTTTACAAGGAATCCGAAAATTTAAATCTGCAGAAATTGTTTGTTTTATTTTGTTTTTCTGCAATCTCAGTAATTAGAAAAATACTAGATGCTAAGTAATCTCCAACTTTAAAAATCAAAGAAAAAATATCAACTAATAATAACAGTTGGCCAAGGTTTGCAGATTGTTTTCCTTTCTGCTCTTTATGTCTAATCTAGGGTTCTGAGCCCTGCAACAAGGTTAGAATGATCAGGCATTGCCAAAGAGTCCTCCACTCCAGAGGGTATATAAACATTGTGTCTGTGTCCCCAGACAATCTCAGGGACTGAGCGTCCTGGAGATGCACCTTCACCTGGAGAAGAGTAAAGTCCCTTGAGTCCACTATGTTGGCTAATATATATTCATGGATTGAAATGCCCTGAGCACAGTCATCAGCACGAACCTCTGGAAGGCAGACATAGGGATCAACCCCCTGAGTGCTGTTGACAGAAGAAAAAGATGAGGCATTTTGCTTTAAGTGACAAATGTAATAAGAACATGCAAATTTGAAAACATTGACAGTCTCTTTGACTTTTTCTTCTCTGTCTTCTTGCTAACTCATTAATCATTAATATGCCCCAAACTGGGGTTAATAGACTCATGTCCTTATTGTACTAGAGTCATCCAGGTGGGAAGATGTTGGTTAGGTTGTAGAGCCAAGGCAAGTTGAAACTGGTCCATTCTTTCTCCTCTTTTGACTAGGCATGCCTAGAAAACAAGAACTTAGTTATTGCTCTGAGTTTAGATTGAGATTTAGCAAGCAGGAAGTGCCCTCTAAGTTTTAGATGGAACACAAAATATCTAGACTGAAAATTAGACAGTAAGAAGTTGATTCGAGCCCTCTCTGTGACAGGATAGAAAGGACAGGAATAATAAAACTGACAAGAAAATTTTACTTACTCATTAGGCAAGGAAATCATTGTGATTCACTCTGTTCTTTGCATAGAATCTGGAAGAATTCCAGGAGCTAAGTGTTTTTGAAGCTCAGCTGTGTGGAGCTCTTGTGATTCTCCTGCCCCTGTCTAGCCGCCTTCTCTTTTGGTACAGAGTGACCCTTCAGTTGTAGGATGTCAAGAAGGGTTAAAGCAGGGCTGTAACTTGGGGGCAGATTCTCCACTTGGTTTTAGTGGTCAGGGAAGGTTTAAACAGGGCCTTAAACAGTAAAACTTAAAGTAGATAATGAAGACAAATAAATATTGATGTGGCCTTTAACGGACACAGTAGTGTGGAAACCATGCATAAGAAGAGAGGATAGACTCCCTCCCTTAGGTAAGAGGCCAAGCTTCACATCAGGAAGTTTTTGTGCTGGTTTCTGAAATCTGGACCTCTCAGGACTGGAAGGTCTCTGAGACAGTGAGAGGCTTATTCTGGTATTAATGACAATTGATAATTTTTACTTTGCACATAGTATCATTGCAACTTCGTGATTACATAGTCAAGATGATGGGACCACAAGAATTTCACGCACAGTGGGCTAGAGAGTTAAAGACCTCTGATAAGCCCTAAGGCTTTGCCTCAGCTGTCTCACCATTTTTCATATTGTTTTATGGGAATGTAAGCCCACCCCATTCACAGGAAACATGAGTGAAAAGAAGAGAGACACTTTTCCAGAAAGTTGACCAAAGTGCTTTCTATACATAATGCCCAGCAGATACTGTGACTACTATCATGCTTAATCCACTGACATGGTGTCATCTATCCATCAGTAAGCACAGTGCTACTCTATTATGCGTGCAACTTAGCACCCACACCTCGTGGACATAAAATTTTTTCATGGTTTATAAAGCCCTTGGGCAATGTAAGCCATTGTCCCTGATGTCAAACTGAGAGCAAAACTTTCAGGTGTTCGGGGAGAAGATGAGAGCTTTCTTGTTGTTCCAGAACTCTTGATGAAGTAGGGCTAACTCAGCATCAGCACAAACCAGCACGAACCCTGTCTGGAGGCATGAAGAGGAAGCTCTCCATTGGCATCGCTTTCACGGGCATGTCAAGGACGGTGGTTCTGGACGAACCCACCAGTGGGGTGGACCCTTGCTCCCGTCGCAGCCTCTGGGACATTCTGCTGAAGTTCCGGGAAGGTAAGAGCTGAGACTCATTCCACTTTCTCTCCCCACAGTGCTATGCTGGGGAAAGGGGTGGCTATTCATACGCCAGTGAGGATACATGGTCTTTTTCCAGAACAAATAAGATGTTCCAACATTTTATGAAATAATTGTTAAGTAATGTATTTATAGTACTCAGAATGCCTACTTTGTGTTTGATCTCTTAACTCAGTTTTAGCAATGACAATTCATTGTCAATGAACTTTAATCATAGATGATGTCATTTGAAATTGGCTTTCCCCAAATTACATTCCATTTTGGAAGCATGAATGATTAGAAGAGGCAATCAGAGGTCATCTAGGACAAACCCTCCTGTGTCAATCAGCTTTCTACTGCAGTGGTAAAATACTCAACAAAATTAACTTACAAGAGAGGAAGATTATTTGGGCTTATGGTTCCAAAGATTCCAGTTTATGAGTAGTTAGTCTTTTTTGCACTTTGCTTTTCTGTTGCTGTGATAAAACACTCTGATCAAAAGGTACTTGGAGAGGAAAGGTTTTATTTCATTTCACACTTCCAAATCACAACCCATCATAGAGGAGCAGTAGGGCAAGAACTCAGGACAGGAACCTTGAGGCAGGATCCATAGAGGAACACTGCTTGCTAGCACACTCTCTGTATCACTCTTCGACTTGCTCTCTTATACAGCTCAGGCCCACCAGCCTAGGAATGGTGCTGCCCATAGTGGGCTGGGTCTCCCCATATCAGTCATCAGAAGAGACAATCTCTCACAGCCATGTCCACAGGCCAACCTTGTATAGAACGTTTCTCATTTTAGGCTTCTCCCAGATGACTCTAGGTGGTGTCAAGTTGACAATTAAGGCTAGCCAGGATGATACTGTTGTTTGGAACTGTGGTGGCACAGCTCATTGTGTTAGAAGTTGCAAGATACTCACCCCATGATGCTTTCAAAGCAAGAGCATGCTTCAATAATGTAATTTCCTTCCACTAGGTCCCACCTCCTAAAGGTTATGCTATTTCCCAATAATACGACAGGCTGGAAAACAAACTTTTAACATACAGATCTTTGGAAGGAATTCAAGATCTCAATGAGATGAGGAAGCTAAGACATGGCAAGATGGACATGCAGTAGGCTCACTTCTCTAGATAAAACTGACAGACAAAAGGGGTAAACAGGTCTATGGCTTAGAGGGGTCATATTTCTTTTGTTATTGACTATTTGCAATTGTGAGCATTGTATAGGCAATTACTATTTTTCAGCTGTTGTTTTTTCCACACTCCAGACAGGTAGGAAGCACTGCTACAGGTATTTTACATAGAAACCTTGTCTAGACAGAAGATGGGCAATAGTGGCACGTGGCTTAGTGCTGGTATAAATGCTCTGGAGGTGAGGTTAAGCAAAATCTTGCAAAAATGTTTTTCTTTTTTTCTTTTTATTTCTGAACATATGACTTTCTTTTGGCTTAACTTGAAAACCTCCACTTTGTGAGGGGTATGTAATGATTTGCTTTACATGAAAACAGAAGAAAATAATAGTAAGGACCAGTCCTTTTCTTCAGCACACAGAGAACAATTCTCATGCTTATGTCCCAAAATTTTGATGGATTACAGAAGGAGAAAATGGAGAAAGAACATGGGAAATTTCACAAACAGATGTGCCTTTGTTGTTTTATATGAACTTGGTTTAGGTTGGGCAGTTACATGTGGATGGAGCTGGCTCAGGGGTCATGGAGCCGAGCAGAATACTGGGCCCCAGGGAGGCATCAAAGACTGGTATTCTCACACTTCCCAGGAAAACAGAATTTGTGAGAGATGCCATCCTTGGAGCTGGGTGACTGAAGGCCAGGGCAGATTTAAGGGTCTGTAGATAGCAGATCTCAGAGAAGGTAGAGACAGGAGCTCTAAGCTTGCCAACCTGACACCTTTTGAGGTTTGTTGGCCAAGCTACAGAAACTGAGGGAGCAGTCTCAGGTGGTCTTAATTGTCACCTAGAGATCAAAAGAGGCTACCTTGTACCCTCAAGCATTCAGCCCCCTTGCTTCATTAATATGTATGACCTTTAGGGAGAGTTGAAGGGTCTGCAAAGAGAAAACCCAAAGCTCTGGTGCAAGACCCTGAATATTGCTCCCAGGAATTGGTTAAACATTGATATTGGTTTTCTAATTTCCCTACCACTTTGAGTGGGGCTGATATAGAAGATGAACGCACAGTAAGTAAGTTACCCCTGCTCTTGTGAATTGTAAAAATAAACACTGCAAGCCCACTGCTTCTGTTTACTTTTAAATCAAAGCTGAATTCTGTTTAAAAAAAGTATTTACTAATTATATCTTAATGATCAACCTTTTTTAGTTTTAAAAATTTATTCTTTGACACATTCTTACATGTGTATAATGAAGTTTGAACATATACTTACCCTCCGTCCACTCCTCCAACTCTCCCTGGTCCCCCTAACATATCTCCCTTCCAACTTAATATCCTTTTTAGAAATAACCCACTGAGTCCAATTAGTACTGCCCATATGTGCATGAGTGTGGAATCATCCACTGGGGCATGGACAGCCTACCAGTAGCCACCACCCAAAGAAAAGTGACTCTTTTCCCCAGCAGCCATCGCCTGCTGGTAGCTCCAGGGAGACCCTCCTCCCTCCATGCTGGAATTTTTCTTTGTTTGTGAGAATTTCGTGCATGCATACAATGAAATGAGCATATCTACACCCCATGTCCCCCTTCAATTCCCCTCATATTCTCCCAACACAACAGCCCTTCCTAATTTCTTCTTCTTCCCCCCCCCATCTTTTTGGTAGCTCACTAAGTCTTGTTAGAGTTGCCCATAAGTACATGGGTATGTGACCATTCACTGGAGCATGAAAAAACCTACCAGTGGGCACATTCTCAACAAAGAATGATTTTCCCTCCCCCCAGCAACAACTTGCTTGATCTTGTGCAGGCAGTCACAGCTGCTGCTAGTTCATGGGTGTAAAGCCATGTCCAGAGGACAGCATCCAGCTCTCACTTTTTAAAATGTTTAGCTGACAGAACATTTGAAAAATCATCATAAAAGCTACTTTAGACTGATGCAGTGAAAGTGTGAAACAACTTGCTTGATCTTGTGCAGGCAGTCACAGCTGCTGCTAGTTCATGGATGTAAAGCCATGTCCAGAGGACAGCATCACATAGAACCCCTTCCTGTCTTCCAGCTCTCACTTTTTAAAATGTTTAGCTGAAAGAACATTTGAAAAATCATCATAAAAGCTACTTTAGACTGATGCAGTGCAAGTGTGAGAAAAAGAAAGTCTTCTTTAAATCAGGCTGTTTCAAGTCAGGTCATCCCTCACTGTCTTTTCGTTGCTTAATGATGATTATTTTTCCCTTCTGAGGACTCCTTTGGAATTGTCCTTGCACTGACTGAAGTATAAAATCAATAGTGTGTAAGCAGATTAGATAGGCAGTGGTAAAAGAAAAACGTGTCTTCAAAAATCAGAATGTGTATCTATCCATTCCTTTAAACAGCCCCAAAGCATCTCGGCACTGGTACTGCTTTGTGAGAAAGATTTAAGATGGTGTAAAAACAAATGCTACCTACTGGGTAAAAACGAGATTTTTCCATCAGAACACTGTGCACCAGGTGCTCAGTCTATTGGGGATTTTGTGTGTGTTTCTTGCTTATCGATGGGCAGCATGAGCTTTTGATCAGCCCCAGTGCCAGTCCTTCAGTGTCTCCCATTGTAAGATCAATAGTGAAGAGACATCAGAGCAAACTGGCACATCACAACCAAACCCCTGGACCAGGTTGCAGACTGGATCTGCATTTCCTCTGTGACAGCAGGGAGATGGTCACATTCCTCTGAGCGTCAGCTTTCTCTGTTGCAAACGGACACAGTTGCAGTAGCCCATCAGTTTCTGTGAGCAGTGCTGCATGCAAAAGTGCACAGCGAAGTGTCTGGTGGGTGAGTTCTCCTTCCATGACAGAGTATCATTGTTTCTGAAATTGACAAGAGTAGGGGAATGTGGGAACCACAACTTTAGGGAAGAACTTTTGGAAGGAGTAGAACACACCACCTGAATCAGGAAGAGAGATAAGGCAGCAATGACTTGAAGAAAAAACCTCGGAGGGTCGGGGGTATCTCAGGTTACAGTAGCACCCCCAGAAACCATCATGAACCAAACAGCAGTAGATTTCATCCAAATTCTTTGGGAATTATTTACTTATTTTTCCAGGTTTATTACAGTACAGCTGACAAATGAAAATTGTACTTATTTGTGGCATATGGCATGATGTTTCACTATATGTATTCATTGAAGAAAGATTAAACAGACATAATTAATATATGCATCTCACAAATCTTTCTCATCCCCTCTTTGTGTGTAGCATTTGAAATCCAATCTCTTAGCAATTTTCAAGTATACAATGAATTATTATTAATGAGCCACTGTGTTGTGTAGTAGATCCCCAGAAACACAGTCTATGACTGCACTTATTCTATTTGATAGAATGGGTAAATGGGACCCATATGAGCCAATGGGGAGAAAGGAAGTGAAAAGTAACAACTTCTGTTTATGTAACTGAAGTAAACTTGCACCCAAATACCTTAGCTTTTCTGGCTTCTGTTCTAGGGCAAATCTGACCTTTCTCTCTCCATGGAATGGTAATGAAATAAGAAAAGGTGGAATTCATGGGTGACATATATGAGCTTGACATGCTTTTGCAAAACAGATGTGGGGCTTGGCCATCTCTCCCTTTAGGAAGGCCTCCAACTTAACCCTCTATTTCCGGCTCCCTCATGTGTCTCCCACTATGTATTTTCTTGGGGTTCAAGGCTGCTGTGTGATTTCCAGGGAAAAGATATATGTTTTGATCTGGTTACATCTAAGACACAGAAAACAGAAAACAGAGATGCTGCTGGACACATAGACTTTGTATTTCACAGCTGTTTCTCTCTTCCGGCCTTGCAGTATCCTCCCAACCCCCATGAAAGAGGGAAGGGGAGTTTTGTGAAAACCATAGTCATAACATTTGGGAAGCTATAGAGGAATAATTTTCAGGGTCTCTAAAGCACAAAATAGACTTGGCTATGCCATTTTTCACAGCACCCATTTCAGTTTTTTGAAAAACGCTGGTCAGTCTTTCAATTCTGTCTCAGCCTGCCATTCACAGGAAGGTTGCACAGGCTCTGGGGGCTTTGTCCTGCTATTTCTGATACACCTTGTGCTCGGATGCAGGTCGCACCATCATCTTCACAACCCACCACCTTGACGAAGCAGAGATGCTCAGTGACCGTGTAGCTGTCCTCCAGCAGGGGAGGCTCAGGTGCTGTGCTCCTCCTGCCAGCCTGAAGGAGGCCCACAGCCAAGGACTCACCCTGACACTCACGAAACAAGTAAGAAGAGTTGTTCTTTTGTTTCACTGGTAAAGTCCCTGTCCCATCTGGGGCCCCAAAAACAAACCATGAAAACTGCACAATTAGAGGCCTTTTGTGCACAATATCCCACTGACTGAAATAAATCCCCTTAGGCCTGAGCAGTGAGAGCTGGCCTCTCTGAACCCCAGGGTGCATCAGTAACCTGGTAGGCACCAAGAGCGGCTATCAGGAAGCATGATGACTAAGGCATTCTAGAAATCTTCATTGACAGGGCTGCTCCTTTTGGGAGGCTAGAACCTTGCCCAGTGAAGAGACAGGGTCAGTGAGGAGGTGGGACAAATGGGGTCAGAACCTGAGAGGTCAAACATAAAGCGCATTTATGTCTCATCACCGCCTGTTGTCAGCCAGGGCATGAACAGTGCTCTGGGATTGGAATCAGGGGAGTCACCACCCAGGTCCTCATGACTGCTCCTGATCCTTCTGACCTTCAAAATGCCTGTGACCTGAATCATGTTTTCTCTGTCTTCTCTCTAGTTGAGACGTATGTCTTTCCATAGAGAGGCCCCACCCCTTCCTCTTTGGCTGGCCATCCTAGTCTCAATTTTTGGAATATTCAAGCCTGATTTCTGTAGTCCAATGGCCAGGATTTGAGTATCCTTTGTGATTCTCCAGGGGAGAAGGGCATTTCATCAGTACAGGTCCCTAGAGCCTGACTGAAGGGTTTTTGGAACCAAAATGGGTTGTAGGTCAAAACTGGGCTTACTAGATTTACTGAATGTAGATTTCTATTTCATAAAAGAGGAAAGAAGGGGCAAGGGGATGGCTCAGTTATAAAGTGCTTGTTTTGAGGACCTGGGTTAGATCCCTGAAACGCACATCAAAATACCAGACTTGGTGACAGGTGTTTATAATCCCAGGGCTGGCAGGAGAATCCCAGGAGAATCCTGGGGCTCACTGCCAGCCAGTCCAGCCTAATCCTGAGCTCCAGGTTCAGTGAGAGACGCTGTCTCAAAGGAGGTAGACAGTGTTCCTTGGTATGACACTTGAAGCTATCATCTGCTTCCACATGAGTGCATGCATGCATCTGCACACACACAAGCAACACACACATAAACCCACACATTAGAAAAAGAAGAAAAATATGTAATGCTTCACTGAAATGTCTACTTCTTTTTTAAAAAATATTTTATTATTTTAATTTTATGTGTATAAGTGCATTGTCTACATATATGTAAGTGCACCCATGTCATGCAATGCCCACAAAGGTCAGAAGAGGGCATCAGATACCCTGGAACTGGAGTTACTGACAGTTGTTAGCTGCCATGTGGTGCTGGGACATGAACCTGAGTCTTTGGCAAGAACAGACTGAGCTTTCTCCAGTCCTGGCCATGATGGATTCTTATCCCTCTGAATAAACTCTTCTATAAGTTGCCTTGGTCATAGTATTTTATCACAGCAACACAAAAGTAATTAATACACCTTAGAACTGTACCCAAACCATAGCATCCAGTAGGGTATCTTACTTACAGTG